GTACCCTCAACTTTGCACTCTACTGGCTTGGATGTTTTGGTTCCAGAGGAGGGAGGGCTTCTGCCAGTATAACTTAACATTGCAACCCAAGACACTTGAAAAGCAACAACAAATGAAACCCAAACCCAGCAGACAAGAAGAAATAAGAAAAATCAGAGCAGAAATTAATGAAATAGAAACAAAGAAAACAATTGAAATAATCAATGAATCCAAGAGCTGTTTCTTTGAAAAAATAAACAAGATTGACAGACTGCTAGCCCAGTTAACCAAAAGAAAGAAAGAGCACCTCCAAATCAACAAAATCAGAGATGAAAGGGGAAACATCACAACAGACACCAAAAAGATCCATAACATTAAAAGGGAATACTTTAAAAACCTATTCGCTACTATATTTGAAAACCTAAAAGAAATGGATGGGTATCTAAAAGCATGGGAACCACCAAAACTAAACCAAGAAGAGATCAACAGCTTAAACAGACCCATAACACATAAGGAAATTGAAACAGTAATACAAAACCTCCTGACTAAAAAAAGCGCAGGACCAGATGGATTTACAGCAGAATGCTACCAGACATTTAAAAAAGATCTACATCCAATACTACTTAATTTCTTCAAAAAGATAGAAATGGAGGGAGAACTTCCAAATTCCTTCAATGAAGCCAGCATCACTCTAATACCAAAGACAGGTAAAGATACAACCAAAAAAGAAAACTATAGACCCATATCCTTAATGAACATAGATGCAAAAATTCTCAACAAAATACTTGCAAACTGCATACAGACATACATCAAAAAGATCATCCACCATGATCAAGTTGGCTTTATTCCAGCGATGCAGGGATGGTTCAATAAGTCAATAAACCTCATAAATCATATAAATGGACTCAAAGACAAGAACCACATGGTCATCTCGATAGATACAGAGAAGGCCTTTTGACAAAATGCAATGTGCATTTATATTCAAAGTCCTAGAGGGAACTGGACTGGAGGGAACATAGCTCAACATAATTAAAATCATATACAACAAACCCACAGTCAACATCATTCTAAATGGAGAAAAACTGGAAGCGTTTCCATTAAAATCAGGAACCAGACAAGGCTGTCTACTGTCTCCACTCCTTTTTACAAACCCATAGCCAACATCATTCTAAATGGAGGAAAACTGGAAGCATTCCCATTGAAATCAGGAAGCAGACAAGGCTGTCCACTGTCTCCACTCCTCTTTTTAACATAGTGCTTGAAACTCTTGCAAGAGCAAAAGACAAGAGAAGGAAATTAAAGAAGTAATTGGAAAAGAAGAGATCAAATTATCCCTTTTTTTTTTTTTTTGGTCTTTTTGAGACAGGGTCTCCCTGTAGCTCCAGCTGTCCTGGAACTCACTATGTAAACCAGGCTGGCCTTGAACCCACAGAGATCCGCCTGCCTCTGCCTCCCGAGTGCTGGGATTAAAGGCCTGCGCCACTACACCAGGCTCAAATT